TTTCAACGTTGATGTAGGTGCTGGCATCCTGAATATCCCCAATATTGCCTCAATCTTGCCAGCTCTATACTCTGCTAAACGCGGACTGGCCGCACTGAAGGTTCAGGTGAGCAGCAAGAGGTGGAGCGGGTGCATGAAAGTGTGCATCGGTGATCTTCCCCCTAATAATTAGCTAGGTCTGGGGGTGCAGGAGGAGAGGTTTGGAGGCGGATTGGTCAGAGCAGAGCTGCGGTGGATGGATGCTGGCTTGATGACTGACAGGGAGCAGGAGAGCTGGTGGATATGGTGTCGGCCCCCTGCAGTGGCTGAAATTAGGAGGTGCAGAGTGCTGGACTGTGGAGAGAGAACTCGGGGAGGGGGTGTTGGCTTCCCCTGGAGGCTAAAAAAGAAAGGGCGGGCTGGCAACCTTTAATGTGTAAGCTCACATTAAAGAATATGACCAGGACAAAAAAGGAGACTGTCCAAGAGGCTGGTAGCAGTGGGGGAAACAAGCAATCACCCCGTGTGTCCAAACAGGCCAGTAAAGAGAAGCAGAAAGAAGTGTTGTCACGACTGGAAAAACTTGCCAGAGGAACTACAACAGGTATGGACGCCAACCAAACAAACGCTGTGCGTTCCACTGACGTCACTTCCGCCACCGGGTAGCTTACGACTTCCAGATTGTATGAGCTTCCGGCGACAATGGGTGGAGAAAAAACAGGCTTTTGAGGCGGAGGGCGGGACGCAATATGCGTTCCAGTGCCAATCCTCCGCTGGCCGGGCCGTATGAGTTCCTTTTTGGGGAGGAGTTATTTCAGGGGGGCTATTTAAGTCGCCCAGTCCTTCAAAAGTGGCTGTCTGTCAAGCCTGCTGGTGCACAGTCAGCCAAGCTGCAGCAATCTTGGAAGCAGGTGAGAACTGTTTTATTGGTCATCAGATAGTTTTTGTTTGTTGTGCTAGTGTTTTTTCCTGTATTTACAGTATGCCTCTAGACAAATCTTCACCCATCAAAGATCGCCAGTCGCAGAGAAGTTGAAGGACGTTATCCACAACAAATGGAGTCAGGTGGAGAGGAAGTCTTCCTTTAGAAATAGATTCTCTAAGCTTTATACTTTTCGGAAAGAGGATCTTAAACACTTAAATGAGTTGCCTGTGGTTGATGCAGCCTTAATGAGTCTGATGAGGCATGTCACGTTACCTCTCGACGATGCTGTTACCTTTAAAGATGTCTTGGATAGAAGGGCAGATTTGGATCTTAAAAAAGATCTGCTGACCGGTGAGGCCTGCAAACCTGCAGTTGCTATGGCGGCGACTTCCAAGGCCCTGGAGGCTTGGGTGGATAGTGCTGAAGCAGCAGTTTTGGAGGATCTTAGTAAATCTGAGATCTTGGACCGTTTAAGGAATATCAGATTGTCTTCCACATTCTTCGCCGAGGCTTCGGTCGATGTAATTAAATCCTTAGCCAGGGTTATGTTGGCTGCAGTGACGGGCAGAAGGGCTCTATGGCTCAGACCGTGGGTGGCGGACCCCACATCCAAGCAAGGATGGTGTAAAATTCCGTTTGAGGGTCAGTCACTGTTCGGCAACAAGCTAGACACCGCAATAGCTAAGTCCACTGGGGGTAAGTCAGGCGTTATACCTCAGGATAGGAAGCTCATGAAGCAAAAAAATGCAATCCTCCGGAAGGAAATGCTGAACAAGGGGAAGGAAGCCTTGGCTTACAGACAAGGGAGAGAGTTTTGGAGGCCTTGGAGACTGTCTTCGGCCTTTTCGAGATCCAAGAAGGGCCCTCCAGCCACTGGTCAAGGATCTCAAAAGCCATTTTGAGAGCTTGCCTGTCCAGAGCTGCCCAGTTGGCGCCAGATTGGCCAGGTTCAAGCAGGTCTGGATGTACAGTATATTAGATCATTGGGTGAGGGAAACTATCTCCAAGGGCCATCGTTGGGAGTTCCACAAGCATAATTTCTCAATTTTTTGCCCAACCAGAATTCCTCAGGACCTTTCCAAATGTGCAATTCTGTTTTCCTACGTTGTTACAAGGGGTGGTAGACGCTGTACCAAGACAGGACCGCTTCATAGGCGTTTACTCTCCGCTTTTTCTGGTGCAGAAAAAGACAGGAGATTGGTGACCGGTGATCGACCTTACGTTCCCTGAACGGGTACATCAAGAAGCATCATTTCAAAATGGAGTCTTTGCAGACTATCCTGAAAGTGATCCACCCTGGAGATTGGATGCTTTCGATAGATTTAAGAGACGCTTATTTCCATGTTCCCATTCAAACTTCGTTTCAGAAGTTTCTCCGTTTTTCAATGGGAAACCTCAATTTCCAGTTCCTTTGTCTACCGTTTGGACTCACAATGTCCACGAGAGTTTTCTCCAAGGTCCTTCTGGTTATGATTGCCTTGCTGCGAGAAAAAGGAGTACGTATCTTCCATTACTTGGACGACATCCTTCTGTTACTTTACAGTCGAGACCTGCTGCTGGAGCATCTCCCACTAGTAGTTGTGGCATTGCAGCAATTCGGATGGCTGATAAATTGGGAGAAAAGTCATCTTACTCCAGCTCAGGACCTTGTATACCTGGGAGCCAGACTGGATATGATGCGTTGCACAGTCTCTGTTCCCCCCGAAAAGGTTCCGGTCATAAGGCAGCGCCTATCGGATGCCCTATCGCACAATGTACTGTCAGCATCTCATTGTCTTCAGATAGTCAGCACAATGGTATCAACGATTCCGATGGTCAAGTGGGCCCAGTGGCGAACTCGTTACTTCCAGTACGGGTTCTTGTGGCAGTGGAAGTCGGAGAGTCTCCACCAACTCATTCGGATCACTCCCCATATGCAGAGCAGTCTGGGGTGGTGGTTCATGGACCGCAACCTACTGTGCTGTCACTCTCTCCGCTCTACCATGTGGACGGTCATCTCCTCGGATGCCATTGAGGGTGCCATCTGTCTGAGCGAGGTTGCTCAGGGTCACTGGTCCTTTCCTGCAGTAGGCGTTGTCTCCAATGTGGACATTCCGGACGGCTTACGCCTTCCCGCCGGTGCCACTCATACTACAGTTCTTGAGGAGACTCTGGAAAGAAGAAGAGGTGGTTGTCCTAGCAGTGATTCCGAACTGGCCCAAGAGGCCTTGGTACCCTCTCCTCTGCCTGATGAGTATGCGGCCTCCATTGTTCCTACCGCCATTGCCGAACCTTCTCTTTGAAGGTTCGATCCTTCACCCAGCACCTGTGAAACTTTGCCTAGTGGCTTGGATGTTGAAAAGCGGAGACTGCTCACATTAGGTTGCTCAGACAGGGTAGTTGATACTCTTCTTCATTCTAGGAAACCCAGTACTAATCGTACGTATAACAGAGTATGGCTGAAATTCCAGGAGTTTGCCGCAGACCATGGTTTTCCGCCATAGGCTCCACAGATCATGTGCTGGACTTCCTACAAAATGGTTTGGAGTTGAATTTGAGTTTGAGCACTCTCAAGGGCCAGATTTCAGCAATTTCAGCCTTCACTGGCCTCCAATCGTCTGGTCATACAATTTTTCAAAGCCGTGATGAGGGCAGACCGCCAAGGACTCCCTTGTTCCCTAAATTGGATCTTCCTTTAGTCCTGGACTTTCTAGCCTCCGACGTGTTTGAGGATGGCGTGTCTCTGTGGCACCTCACGCCTTTCTGGTTGCTATCAACTCCACCAGACGAGTTTCAGAGTTGGCTACTCTTGGGTTTAAAGAACCCTTCACTACTTTCCTGGTGGGTAGAGTGGTTCTAGTCCTCATGATGGGGTTCATTCCCAAGGTTATATCTGACTTTCACATGCTCCAAGAAATTGTGTTGCAAACCTTCAGATGATGGAAGCCGGATTAACCGCTTGGACGTGGGTAATACGCTAAAAGCGTATATTTCGGCCACGGAAGGGCTGAGGTCCACGGACCATCTCTTTATTGTCCCGGCGTGTGCCAGGAATGGTGCTAAAGCATCCAGTTGGCTCATAGCATCCTGGGTGGTGAAGGTGATATCGTTAGCATATGAAGCCAAGCACATACCTGTACCAAGTGGGGTGTCTGCTCAGTCCACAAGGAGTCTGGCCACATCATGGGCTGCAGCCAATGGTGTTTCCTTAGAGACTGTGTGTAAGGTGGCCACATGGTCTTCTCCGCACACATTCATGTCCTAATATTGTGTAGATCCAGCTGCCTTAACTACGGTTGAACTTGGCCGTAGAGTTATTTCTTCTGCTGTGGGTTGTGATTAACTTTTCAAGCATACCCTCCCGTTTGGCTTATTTTTTCCCATTCGTGTGCTGACATGGAGCTGAAAGGAAAACAAAAAATTGTATTTCATACTTACTGCAATTTTCCTTTCCTGTCTAGCTCCATGGAAGCACAATGCCCACCCGTGCAGTAGTCAAGTTACAGAACTTTCAGTTTTTATGAGTTACAATGCCCACCCGTGCAGTAGTCAAGTTACGGAACTTTCAGTTTTTATGAAAGCCTAGGGGCGGCCCCTGATAAGGGGGAGGAGGGAGGGATTAACCCATTCGTGTGCTGCCATAGACAGGAAAGGAAAACTGCGGTAGGTATGAAATACAATTCTCCGTTATATGTGCTAATCTTAAAATGGTGTTGCAAAAAGTTAATGTTAATTCCGGTAAAATTGAAGAACTGGAAAACAGAGCAAGGCACAACAACATCAGACTGGTGGGAATACCTGAAAAGATTGAGGGGTTAAATCCGGCGTTTATGGAAAATTGGATATTAGAGACAATAGAAAAAATAGGATTTTGGTACTCATTGTAAAATCCTTTTCTCTCCATTCATTGAAGGACACAGGGAACAGATCTAGGATCATGTACTGTAGGGTAATATCGCCACCTGCAGGAGAATGATGCTAGGCACAAAACTAAAGATCAATTACAGCCTAGGGGTGGCCCCTGCTGACAAGTCT